TTTTTCGGACGGAGTCCGTACCGAAAAGGTTAAGTAAGAAAAGCTAATGTATTGTAGATCAACGAAACTTTTGTAGTATCGGGCCTCCGTACACAAATAGGAAACCTCGAAGGGAGAATATAGAGGGAGTGGTTGGCGTAGTGCGCAAAGCCTCAGCTTGCTAAGCCGAAGGTCCCGGGTTCGATTCCCGTTGCGTCCTTCAATATTTTTTCCTAGGTTCCTACACTTTGTAACCTTCAGTTTAGTAAATGAAATGGAAAATTGGAATTAAAATTCGTTTTCCTTAGTGATATAACTGTCTTTATCAGATCTTCACCAAAATTTGTGGCACGAGGAGTCTGACTCGTTATCATACGGCAAGGGGTTAAATAAAATTTCCAACAAAATAAGCGTTAACAAGTGAACCGGGGGAGTTTGTTGTGGTCAATTACGACGCGGTTGTAAATCGAGTTGCAAGATGCGGCACGGCAGCAACGTTAAGTTAACGTTAAAGCAACGCGCATCAGCAATGTAGATTGGCTCGACGTTTAGAATCCACGATGGAAAAAGACACCGCCGGCGACGAACATCGGTGTGCGTGTTTGCTTGCCTGCGTTTCATTTTCAATCGCACGTCGCTACTCGAATCACAATCGGCTCTCCCGTGTCTTTTGTTTAGAGAAACTCGAACGTCTCGCGGTGATAAACAGACGACAAACATGAGAAGATAAACCGACACGCGCGTTCTTTCTCTGTTGCGCGTACTGTTCGGAAAAGATACCCACGGTTTCGTCAGGATGAGGATCACCGTTATCCCTGCGAGTCAGGAAGATCACCAGAGGATAACAGAGTCGCGGAGGTGTTCCTAGCTCCAATTCCGGCGCCGGAAGCGACAGTCTCAGGGTCTCTTCTCCGTGGGGCTGCCTCCTGTGTATCTTTCAGTCAAGGAATAATTCATGCTACCGTTCAAGGGGTTTGTTTTATTTTTCTGCCGGTTGGACGAGGATCGAGGGACGAGACAGAGACGTAGATAGGCAAAAATGTGGAGTTAGCAAGGTTTCTGTGAGAGATTTTTGTGTCTTAGGAGGATTGTTAAACTCAGGTTAGAAGTTGCGTACAGTTACTCTCGTTAATGATACTTTTTGGAACGGTTCACGTTTTCAACCCTTTCGCTCGCGGCAGAATTTCAATCGCGACGACCGTTACATTTTTTGTTTCGCTCGAATTTTATAGTTTAGAGCAATATTTCCGAGGAGTCTTCAACTCTTTCGCTGAGGCAGATTTTCACGCGTAATGTGGGTAATTTTTTAACCACGGTTGCAAAATCTGTTACTTTGGTCGCGTCGTTTTAAAATCTGTTTCGTTGAATTAAGGTGGAAGTGTGCAAAGAAGAGAAATTAAGGAATAAATGACGCCGAAAGTGCGCCAAAAGGCACCAATAGCAGAACAAACGACTCGAGTTTCTCTCGAGAAGTAAAAATAATTACTTGACTAAATATTGAAAAAATTGCAATTCGTGAGAATCGCGAAGAAAATTCCGCAAAGGTCCCTTTCCACAACTTTCTCATCTCCCGCCAAACATTTAAAATACAAATTTTCCAAATTTATGCGAATTATACACACACCGAAAATTTCGTCGAAGTCGAAATTGCTCCAACTTGAAAAAATAGTTGGGCCGTTCTAAAAACTGTCCAAACATTAAATAGAAGTAACTAGCGAGAATCTGTGGTTAGTATAGGATAAGTTAGGGCAAAAACGTAGAAGGTTTGTTCTTTCTTTTTCTCTCTTCTTATACAAAATCTGGATGTTTTCTTTGACGTGGATGTCGGCTGGAAGGGTTAGCAAGTAACTCGAAAAAGAGACTGAACCGCGTAAGGAAGGATACGTTTGCGGCGGTGTGAGGTACTGCGCGTGGCCTTGAAGAAGAGTGCCGTTCAAGGACGCGTCTCTAAGGGTGCTCCAGGGCTTCCAGAGCGCCAGATGAAGCTCCCTTATGCTGACACCCCAGAGAGCCTGCAGAGAGTATTCGACTTGACTCGACACCTCGCACTCCACCTCTGCAACAATCAGACAAAAGAAGGAAAATAAGAAAATTGAGAAAGGGAGACAAAACTAGCGTATATGTACGACGTTTCTTCAAAGGCTTCTTTCTGCGAGAACAGTTATAAGGTTCTCCAAAAACGAGCCGTATTCAATGTTTCAAGGGTTCCAACGGTGTATACAGGGTGTTTCAGAAAGTGTGCTCTGAAAAGAGCCAAATTACCTAAAATAACGAACGAAAGTTTGAAATCGTGAGGGTTTTTTTTTTTTTTGAAACACCCTGTGTATGTAGAATGTTGGAAGCTTTGACACCTTGAGAACCTTGGGACAAATAGACTTCGCACAGGTGTATACTGTGTTTTTGTAAATTAGTTTCATACCAGAGAGCAGAGGAAATTGTACAAACTATTAATCAAACGGAAATTTTAATTCTTATCACTCCTCCAATTGTGTCTTACTTGGCACACAGCTTTACTTTTATTAAAGAAATTATATTACTTTTGAAACGAGTAAATAGAAAAATAAATAAAATTTGCAGGTTATGTCGCATTTGAAATCTCACAAGCAAGGAAATGTCGAGGATACTTAAGTTGCGACAAAAACTTGAAATGAGCAAAGATTGTCTTAAAATGATCGAAAGATTATTATTCGCACGTTAGGCCGCATACTAAAATCTTGCAAGCAAGCAAATAAATATTTCATATTTAAAAATTAAAAAACAATTAAGAATAAGAATTTCACATTTTCTCCTGCACATTTTATTACTAGGCATTTACTTTGAAGCACCCTTTGGTGCTCGCGGAGAGTGCACGCAGGTACATACGTTCGACAATCGCAAGAAATTTCTCGCCAATTACGGGAGAATCGCAAAAATTATTTCGGTTCGGCCAACGTGAATGGTCCCCAGAATCACTTTTATACACGTCGTGGAGGGGAGAATCGTGTGTAGCGGTGTGTGTTAAACGCGTGTTATTTCACAGTCGTGACGTTACTCAAAATCATTACGTAACGAGCCCACTTTCGACTGCTTTTTTCCTCTCTTTTTCTCCCTTTTTTCCCCACTCGTCTGGAGCGCTCCAAGATATCTCCGACGGCCAACGGGGTTTCCAGGTCACGCGTGAGAGGAGAGAGACCACCGGCACACTTCCTCCAGTTCTAATTCGCGCGGAGAACCGCCACCGCCGCTGCGCTCCATTGTCCCATAAGCCCGCGAAACGAGCGTAAAACAGAGAAACCTGCTCGTTTCGCGGCCATTTAACGTCACTTTCTAACGACTCGTTACCATTTGCCGATTGACCTTTTTCTCGCGTTAAATATGCCCGCACGTAACACACGTTGAACTTAAAGGAGAGACGGTGCAGGAAATCCTCGGATTAGTCACCAGGTGAATTCGCGGAGCTCGATCTTTAGAGCGAAGTAGAATTTCCAAATTGACGAATGTGATTTTCCTCGATGGTTGTGGAAGATTCTAAACCTCTGAACCATCTTCTAAGTTAGCAATGTACCAGACAGATTGGTCCATAGAGTGAACCGAGGGAGGACCTCGATTTTTGAAGTAACTTGTAATTCTCGATTCAAAATTGCACATTTTTTTCTACGGTCCCAGGTGGTCCAGTGTCGTATCGAGATATTCAGACACTTTTCGTTCATTTCCAAACATTTTTCACGCCGATAAGAAGACAGAGATGTTGGCGAACAGTGCGAATCAAGCAAGGAGCTCGAATTTTGAGATAAACTATAATTCTAAATGAAAAATTCTACATTTTTTCTATGGTCCCAGGTGGTCCACTATTTTCTCAACATATTCGTACACTTTTTGTCCATTTCCGAGCATTATTCACGCTGATAAGACGACAGAAACGTTGGCGAACGGAGTGAGTCGAGCAACGAGTTGAAACTTTCGAACAAACTACAATTCTAAATGAAAAATTCTACTTTTTTTCGGTGGTCCCCGGTGGTCCAAGCTTCTAAGAACATATTCCTACGCTGTTCGTCAATTTTTTCACCGATGAAACGCCAGAGAGATCTCGGTTCGCCGAGCGAATAAACGGAGTCGACGAATTCGAGGGGACATTGCAACGAGAGGGGAAAAAACCGAAATGTTGAGCAACGATGTCGAATTAAGTTGATCGGAGTCTGTCGTGGCTAAAAATTGCCGCGGTTCGACAGAGAGGCCACTGTCGAGGAGATTGTTTCGAGATCACGCGAGGCCGGTGTGAACGAAAGTGAAAGCTGCTGGCAAAGACCGGGATCGTCCGACGCGGTAGAGTTTGAACGCAAGTGGAAGTATCGAAACGGCCATTCCACGAAACGACAGAAACCTTTCTTGCCTGCGTGCAAGGACAAGCGTACTTTTCGACACGATTAGAGCACAGCCAGTGTCCTTTCACGAGTAGCCCGAGTTGTCCATCTTTTTTTTTAATCGAATTCGTGAAGGAATCCGCCGCGGAGTTCAAGATCAGAGATCGCAAAGATCTCTGTCCGTAAATTTCGGCTTCTTTTTTTTTTCTCCAAGCAAACGTTCGGAATTTTTATTGCAACATTTCTCAGTTACCGAATTGGACTTTTGGAGAATTTACCGGGTATTTAATTGAAATTGTTTAAGGGATTGGGAGAATTTTTTGTTGAAACTATTTAAAGGATTCGGAGAATTTTTAGTTGAAATTATTTATGAGTTTCTGCGAAGTCTTTATTCCGGAGATAAAATAATTCCAGGTTTCTGAATTTAATTCTTTTCCGCGCAAGTATCTGGAATTTGTAGCGTAAAATTGTGTTTCTCAAGGATCTGTGCGATTCGAGTTAGAAAAATTTCACGAATTTAAGGAATTTTCAATCAATTTCTCAATTTTCACAAAATTCTCAAATTTCTTTATTTCCGAAATTTAATCACGTTAACCCATCGCTTAGAATTTCAACAAAACCATCACCCTATAAATACAAATTTCACCTAATTTTCGACACGACAGGATCTCCTCGTCTCCAATTCTATTTCTTTTATTTCTAAAATTTCACAATACCCAAAATTTAACCGCATTAACCCATCGCTTAGAATTTCAACAAAACCATCACCCTATAAATACAAATTTCACCTAATTTTCGACACGACAGGATCTCCTTGTCTCCGCATTACTTCCCACGATTCGAAATTCCCTCAAAGTCCCTCGAATTTTCGACTCCCCTTAATTACTTCAATCGGTACACGCGACGAAACGTGCAACGAAACATAGCTCGTAACTTAGAGATACAGCGTTACAATCAAACCCGGAAACACGATGCATTTCTTCGTGGCACGAATCGAGGAAACGTCGAAACGCGACAGAATCGACAAACAATACGAGTCTCGCCTGAAATTCTCGTGTTCAACCGCAAAAAAACAAGGTTGAATATTGCAAAACCGATTCACGGAGAGCATTTTACACGTATCGAGAAACACGAGGAATTACTAAACACACGGAGCAAGAACAGATTTCTGCTATTAACATCAAATTATCCTGTTTTTCTTCCTCAACGTTAATATATGAAATCGATTCAACAGATTTGGCGTTACAACGTTGTTTCTTTGTCCTGCTGGTTCGACTGAAAAACACTTCTACGATGTAGCAATTTACCCTCTAACGGAAAAAGTGCATTTTCATGCTGCAAGATTGGAGAATTATTCGAGTATTTCTTCTTCTTCTGTTTTTCATTATCTTTCTTTTTTGTTTCGTATATATGTATAACAAGTGCAGAGTTGCGCAATTTCACGTTAAAGCATGGTCGGTGAAGCACAACTGGAGTGGTTGGCAAAGACTTTAACACGTTCACTGGCATAAAGGGCGGAGCAATGTGGGTCAAGCTTCACGAATGATATCCTAGAAGTCCTGGAGGAGATAGGAATACTTCTTTGCAAGGTGAGCCGCTTTTCAGAATCAGGTGTATCAAATGTGCTAGATAGAGACTGAGAGCAATCTAGATAATGGCGGAGAGAATGCTGAATTCGCGACGGGGGATTTTCTAAGTTGACGTTCTGAATTTTTTATCGTCTCGAGGATTAACGCGAGCCTGTTCTCGACGTAAGCTTCTTCCGTGAAGCTTTTTCTCGAATATAGTAGGAAATGTTTTGCGGTATTTGTTATCTCGTTTTACTGATTCATTTGTAAAGAGAAATTCGCGAGTTTAACGAGGACATTGATGATCGTTTTAAAGAGTATATCTTTGAGAAAAAAGGTTCCAAAGAATTTAAAGATGTCGAATGTTCCAAAGGCTTCAAAAGTTCTCAATATTCCAAAAGTTTTTTTTTTCAAAAGTTATTCCAAAGTTTCAATGGCTCAAAGATTTCTAAAGTTCTCAAAGCTTCAATGGTTCAAAGGTTTCTAAAGTTCTCAAAGTTTCAATGGTTCAAAGATTCCAAAGGTATCAGAAGTTCTTAAAGTTTCAATAGTCCAAAGATCTCAAAAGTTCTCAAAGTTTCACTGGTTCAAAGATTCCAAACGTTTCAGAAGTTCTCAAAGCTTCAATGGCTCAAAGATTCTTAAAGTTCTCAAAGCTCCAATGGTTCAAAGATTCCAACGTTTTCAGAAGTTCTCAAAGTTTCAATAGCTCAAAGATTCAAAAGGTTTCTAAAATTCTCAAAGCCTCAATGGCTCGAAGATTCCACAGATTTCTAAAGTTCTCAAAGCTTCAATGTTTCAAAGATTCCAAAGGTATCGGAAGTTCTCAAAGCTTCAATAGTCCAAAGATCTCAAAAGTTCTCAAAGTTTCAATGGTTCAAAGATTCCAAAGGTTTCAGAAGTTCTTCAATGGCTCAAAGATTCCTAAAGTTCTCAAAGCTTCAATGGTTCAAAGATTCCAACGTTTTCAGAAGTTCTCAAAGTTTCAAAGATCTCAAAAGTTCTCAAAGTTTCAATGGTTCAGAGATTCCAAAGGTTTCAAAGTTTCCAAGGTTCTCAAAACAGCCATATTCCATAAAACATCCATAGTTCCAAGATTCTCAAAATTTAAAACCTCCAAGATTCTCAATTGAAAAAAAAAAAAAAAC